TTCTTTCTTTCTTTCTTTCTTTCTTTCTTTCTTTCTTTCTTTCTAGCTTGGGTCTTATACTAGTTTGTTAGAAGGGCTGAGTACAAAGAAGGGAGAAAATGATGAAAAAGGCAAACATTCAACAAACTGGTCTTCTGGGTTCTGTTATTCTGTTAAATGGCTTATCTTTTCATTTTTTTTTAAACTTCAGGTTGTATTTAAAGGGTCACACTGGGACAGCAGGAAAACAGAGCAGCCTGATCTTACATGGTGCTGATTTCAGCACTAAAGATGCAGATAATGACAACTGTATGTGCAAATGTGCCCTCATGCTAACAGGAGGTAAGTCCTATGGGGCCATTCTCTAAGTTATGTTTCATTGGTTTGAGGCTTGAATTTTCTTATCTGTGAGAAAGGACTGTGATCTTCTGGTCAGGAAACTTAAGAGCAAGTCCCTAGAGATCATTTTGTTCTGCCCACTAATCTACCATGTGTTCTTGTGCAAGATGTTGCTAGCATATTTATAAGTTTGCCTCCCCCCACAGTGTCTATAAAAGGTGCACGCTAGGCTTAATTCTGAATACCTTCTTTAGCTTCTTGAAGTGCCAGTTATTCTGCCTTTTAAGTAATCATAATGATACCCATTGTGGAATGAGCAATTTGGGAATTCAGCCTCGGGGTGGAGGGGGAATCCTCCTTACAAAGTGTTTTGCAACTGTGTAGTAGAGTTCATTGGTCATTCTGTTGAAATGGAATAAGAAGAATAAAGAGGTATAGTTAGATATAGTTAGATCTAAAGATCTAAAGACCAGCTACACTAGGGCTTTGCATTATATGGTATTGACTTCTGCAAGACATTTGAGCTAGTATAAGAAATTCCATTAAATAATATTGTATCACTGAGTAAGAAAGTTAATCCTCTTTGAACTTTTTAGTATCTTTCCAGCTTTCTGATTGTGTCAAAGAGAAGTTCTCAGTTTGGTGCTAGCGTATCTGTAACACTTCTTCAGCACTTACTCAATAATCACTCAATAACCTTCATAGTGAAGAAGGAGCAAACTCTTTGGCCTCAGGCTCAGGGCCTTGGTTAGACAATGGAACCTACCTAGAATTAAATAAAGTGATTTTGTTTTAATTTTATTGGGTTTTATATCTACCTTTTATTATAGTAAGTGGTACTGGTCTTTAAAGGAATTATATAATCTTTGCATTTTTAAAGTATTCACAATATTTTATATATAACACATTACTGATTTAAAGAAAAATATTAATTAAATATTAATAATGTTATAAATGGATAATAGGAAAAATCTGTGAAGTTGATACACGACTAACTGGGGTTTGAGAAACACTAAGCTAAAACCCAGTGGCAAGCAGTGTAGCTCAAGTACGTTATAGGCTCTGGCAAGGAAGGAGATGGCACCAAACAAAATTGTAAAGGTAACTTTCTTTCCAGTGTTTCTGCTCTCACAGTTTCAGAGTTTTTTCCCTCTCTTAATGGAATAGCAATCACTCCCTGCCCCATCAGCTGTTCTGATTCTCCTTCTGTATTAATCTACAACAGAACATGTTTTCATGGCAGGAAGGAAAAATTGAAGTATTTTCCTTCCCAAATATGATATTACTACCATTATTTTTATGTATTTTTATATGTTATTGCATAGGTCATACTATCTTACTCAAGCTCCAAAAAGTTCTGTGAGATAAGCAGGGAGAGAAACTCTAATCTCCACTTTGTACATAAGGAAAATAAAAGCAAATTAATGCTCACCATTTTGTATTTAACATCTAGCCCAGTAGATGCAGCACATAGGAACTCAATTAAGAATATGGTGCATGAATGAATGAGTAACCATCTTGTAACCCTTGAAATCACTTTCAAATTTTGAAGCCAATGAAATGTATCATTAGGTTGACATTTTCTCGTCAGTTAACAGAGCATGGAAGAATATGGAGAGGTGATTTTGAAGAAATCTTTCCACCTTCATCCCCATCCCCATGTCCTCCATTTTTACCACCACCAAATCACTTCCCATTGACCACCACACTTACATCAATATCTTTTCAACATGAGACCAGCCCTAGCATTATCAAAGCCAATCTGTTATGATTCTTCTTCTATCATATCCTTCTCCCTATACTTAAAAATGGTATTTTGACATCACATACAACCTAATCAAATAGGTAAAAGTCCTCTATATGTAACTTTATGACCCCCTCTCTGCAACACAGTTGTTACAAATTTAGAATGTTTTCCAAAAATGGTACCCATAGGTTAGGTTTTAAACTTTTTTCCTGAAAGAAAATTCTTCTCATTACTTCCCTGATCCCATAAATGGGATTGTCAGCAAATTTATACAGAGACAAAAGGATTTTGATTGTCTAGGTTCTTGCTCATTTTAATATTGAAATATGCTTCAATTTCTCCACATCTATTTTTACAGATAATTTTTCTTACCAAATAAATGCAATTCATGAAAGACCAACAGTAAAATCTTTCAAATGTTGCCTTAGAAGAGCATTCCAATATGTTCATATTTCTGTCATAATAAAATATAGAACAAAGCAAAGCAACAACCTCTTGGTTGTTGATGAGAAAACTTCATTGTTCAGATTTATGATCTTATTTCTGCTTCAGATGATTGAACTTTGTCATGTTCTTTCATCCATAATCATTTTTGGACCTGCTTCTTACTCACCAATAAATACATATGTTGGGGAGAGAAAATTTCCACTTATTGCTTGGGCTGGAATAGTCTAAGTCAATGTGTTTTTGTAATAAACGCCATTACCCTATCAAATATCCTTCTGAAAGAATCCAGGCCTTGCAAATCTCTTCACTCTGCAAAGCTAAAATGTGGAATTTAGATAGCTAAGAACTGGAGAACATAAGGATGAATGTCAGTGACAGTCCAGGTAACTTGAGTATTGCCTGGAACTTATATCCTACTTAGCTACTCCCCACCACCCATACTTACTCTGTCATATTTTCCCTTAGAACCATTTTCTTCATCTAATGATTTTTCCTTTCTTTTTTTTTTTAATTTGCATTTGAACTTGCTGCCTGTTTAAAATAGTTTCTTTTAAGCAATGAGATTTCATACTCTGTGAAACTAATAATTCACAGCTTTCTGTCATCATCAATTAAAGCTTTGTTTTATCTTGTTTATTTATATATTTTTCTCCTTTGTTTCTTCTCAAAGAAACTAAGGGTAAAGTAAGATTGAGTGCTTGCTAACTGTCCTAAATAGTTTTGCGCAAGTACCTGGGGGAATTTTGGTTGGAGAATGTGGTATTGTTGCCACCCTTATCTGTCAAAGACTGAACAACAGGAGATGAGCTTAATTGAAAGCAGAAGGTATTTCAGCTAGGCATAAGGTCAAAATATTATTTTGATCTTTCTTTCTTCTTACCTAATATCCTAATTCCTTAACTTCCTTCTATCAATGTAACATATTTTTAATAAGTAACTATTAAGCATCAACTATTCTTAGAGAAATGAGCAAGACAGAATAGAACTTACATCTATTGAGGGAGACCATGAACAAAAGAATAAAAAATAAATAACACAATTTCATATCATAACCAGTTTTGGAGACAAAATATAACATGTGATGGAGTTATTGGAGGATGGGGAAGTGACTTTAGAAGGAGTCTCCAGGGATCAAATGCTGCCAGGGAGGATTGTGCATTTCTAGTTGTGGACATCTTCAAGAAGAGAATATAAAGCTATTTTATCTAAAAGAGCTTACTTACGCATGTTCCTGCAGTTGTAGGTCTAGATAAGAATGTCTGTCACATTTTCTTCTGGCTCTACAGCTCTGTTTTCTGTGTATTTATTGTGGCTAAAGTAGGGGAAAACAAGTAATATTATTTTTCAGTGCATGAGATGTAATTCATAGTACATTGTAGAGTGGAAAGGAGGTGTAGGGGGCTGAAAAGCACATTTGCATCAATAGAAATAGGTACGTTTTACATTTCCTTTCCCAGAAGTATATGTACTTATTCCTACCTTACCAGAAAGCCAGCAATTTTTCCATCCAATTTAACTATTGAATAATTTTCATGTTTTGTTATATATTTCTTCTGAGACCAAAGCATATATTTCAAGGTCAAAATTGCCACATACATCTTCTATACAACTGCCCTTTAATTAATCATTGAATAGAGGTAATTTGTCAGCACAGATTTATAAGCCAGAAATGTCTTTGCTCTGTGATGCCACTGACCTTAGGAAAATTTGTAAGTTTTCTCCTTAGGTTTCCCCCTATATGAAGGATATTGTGAAAAATCTGTATACTTCAGTAGTGGGAGGGACAAAGTTAAGAGATGATTACAGGAAGTATTTTTAATCCTGTAGGACAGTTCCTATTATGCCCTCCTGAGCCCAAAGAAAGGAATCGGTTTCTTTTAAACATAAAAGTTTTATCTACTATTTAACATTAAGAAAATGAAAATGCAATCTCATTCAATGCGTGCTTTTGTTAATATGGGTTTATTGTCTATTAAAACAAATATGCAAAAAACCTCTGACTCCATAATACTGACAATGAACAACTTTTAGATTCTCACATTCAAAGTGAATGTTACATTCAAAGAAAACATGGTCTTTGGTACTAAATTAGCATTCTTCAAATAAGTATTTCTAAAAGTCTGTTAGAAACTACAATTACTAAAGGTTGCTGGCAAAACAAAACAAAACATGGTATTATTTTACATTCCTTTCCTTACCTTACTTTTCTTTCAACACAATTTCCACATTTAGTGTATAATATAAAAACTATGTAAAAATGTGACCTAACCTTCTGCAGAAAGAATCTGTTGTGGTAGAAACTTCGATCTCTTTTCCCACGCATAAACTATGTCAGCCGACAGACAAGACTTTGCTAAAGCTAACAAAGGATATTTCTCAGTTCAGCCCTAAAAGACAGGATAAAGCCATACGCATAAATTTCTTAGTACACCCTACAACTTACCAGATGCTAACAGCAGAGAGTTGATAAATGCTTGCAGAAGAGGGTTGATATGGCCTGCTATAGAATCTTGAAGAAGACGAAGAAAATGAAAGAACTTAGCAGCTTCTCCAACTAGTGAATGATGCTGAGTGACAGGATCTTTGGGAAAATATGATCATCTTAGAGTTTTTAATAATCCAGGAAGGACGTACTAAACATTGTCCAATAACTCACATTCCCCAGGCAAAAGTTTAAGGCAAAAATGTTGAGAGAAAAGATCCATATGGATAATTTAAGGTTGACCACAGAAATATACATTGCATTACTTTATTTCAAAGCAATTACTTTTAGTACATAATCCATAAGCCTATTCCTCAAAAATGTATA